CTACTAATCCAACTAATCACTGCTGAGGTTCCTATATATATATATCTTAAGTACAAAACACACGCCAAGATGAAGTTGTACAATCATACCCTTATAATTTCTGGCTTTGGAACAGTCCAAGGTCACATGAAGGTCAGTCATTGTATCATATTACTAAAACGTGGTAATTAATGTTCATGTTTATTAAATACACATATTAGCCAAACAATGAATACTTACAGATAGAAGCTTTTTATTTTCTCAACAATTACGGTCTACATTGTTTGTTTGTAGTTAGGCGCAAAGCTACACAATAGGCTATCTGTACTGTGATGCCCACCACGGGTATCGAAAACCGGTTTCTAGGGTTACAAGTACGTAGACTTACCACTGTCACACCGGAGATCTAAAAACAACAAACAAACAGAACTGCATCCAGGCAATAATGTTGGTACTAAAGGAGACGTGTTATGCATTCATCGTTAATTTCATTGTTGAAATAAATTAATAATATTGTCCTCCTTGTCAAGTTGACGCCCTGCCAATCCTTCTGCAGTTAATATGAATAATAAAAAATGCTATTAATGATAAATGAATAATCCGATGGTAATAAAAATCGTAAACCTAATTCTGATGTGTAAATGATGCAAGTAAAATTAACAAAAAAAGTTGTCCACAAGGATAATTAGTTCACTCGAAACAGTAGTTTTGTTCACGAAATTGATGAGGATTAACGAGATTCCCACTGTCCCTATCTACTATCTAGCGAAACCACAGCCTAATGAGCCCTGGTATTGGACGAAAGGCCTCGTCGGCACTAGATTATAGCAGATATAGTTGCGGTTGATATTTTGTTTTACTTCTATATTTTCACCCATAAGTTATTATAAGTAATGCGTTTTATATTATCATTAGAAGAAAACAAAAGTCGAATTTGAACACATTTTGTTTTTACTTAATGTTTTCACATAAAGCCCTAAAAAAAACATAGAAAAATTTATCTTTCTTAATTAACAAATTAATCATTGCTGAAACACGATGTTAGAGGTCGCTTCACGACAGTGACGTCAATGCTTGGTAAAGAATATTGTTCCACAGTACTATATTGTTGATATGTTGGACCAGTTTTCACTTTACGTTTTTCTGCCTATTTCTAAAGGTTCATGCTGATGGCCAACAACACGTTTACCCCCCTCAGCCCTTCTGTATTTAGTTATAAGCACACGAATGTAATGTCATAAAACGAAATATTATCAGCCAGGTTATTCTAGGTGTTTTAATATATTCGTTACAAATTACATAACGAGTATTTTCAGAAAGAAATACGAAAATATAACATTAGTGTTAATTTACTGGTTCTTTTTTTTTTTCATATATTGTGACGTAACCTGCTTACTGTTGTTCCCTTTGAACAACAAATAAAAATGTCTACACTATACTGGTCGTATTAAGGTAAAGAACCCAATAACCTATGACAAGCCATATCAGACAATACACACTACGTAATATATTTCTGAGTAGACGTCCTAGTTGTAGTTATAATATATATATGACGTTCAAGGTGTTTCTTTGGCGAGTCAACGGGTTGTAAGAATAATTTTCGTTAGTGAAGTGCGAATTTAATGCCCACGAGCATAATAAGGAAGAAAAAAAAAACTTCAATGTTCTCTGTTTTACGCCTAAATCCCGAACAAAGAAACCTGGAGTTATAGCCTTTGGGTACTGACGCCTAACTCCCATACCAGGATAACCTATAACCAAATGATGAATTTGTTACCGAAGTTAGCACGTGAAATGTTGATTTTTAGATGGGCAGGTTAGTAAATCTTCACAATAGTTGCAGGAAACATTACAAAATTTCTATACGAGGCTCTGTCTTTGATTTTTTCCTTTAAATAAAACGACCTATATATTCTCAGATTAATATTATTACGAAATATTATTTTATTATTGTATTCAGAAGTATTAAATCTTTGTCCGAATCAATTTCACCATACTGCTATGGCTATTTCTGTATGAAATGTACTTCCCTTATATGTCCAAATAACTCGCGACTCGTCGTATTAACATTAGGTTTCCATGTTTTCATCTTGAATCACGCAGGGATTAAACCAAGTCAGAGACACCTAAGGTTCGGCCATAACCATCACTAATTTAGAGCTGTCGACCAGACGGATACAACCACCCAGCAGCACCCACCGCATACATAGCGACTCCTATTTTATAACACGCCCACAGTGAAAACTATGGGGCGCATTCAGCGGCATACTGTGGGTTCGAACCCTGGATCTACCAATTCGCAGCATGACGTACTAACCGTTAGGACCAAAAATATTTGAGTAATTTTGAACAGAACAGCATCATGGTGAAGTATCTGTAAAACCAAATTTGTTTATTTGTTTTTGTGAAGGCGCGATTCTAAAGGATTCTGAGCTTTACAAGCTTATAACCAAAACTCAGTAGTCCTCATTCAATGAAATGAAAAATAACATTTACAGCATTCAAGATGCTGTAGCTCAATTAACAGAATCCCTTATGAGAATTCCACCCTAATATAACTTTCAGTTCTTCAGAAAAATTCCGCTTGGTGTTATAATTAATAATTTACAAAAAGAAAAAAAACTTAATATTTTTTATTTCTTGCTTTTGAAGTTCATATCTCATGCTGTGTTGTATCCTACAGAGTGCATAATTCTTCTCGTGGTTCATGGCATGCGCACGTTTACTGACGTTACAACAGTACAAATTGCAACGTTGAGCGTCCCCTGTATAACGTCATTTCAGTATCTACTGACTGACAGACAGACAGACAACACACAACTGTATAGTGTTATTATGACTTATAAAAATTATGAAAATCTGACATTACGCAGCTTTAATTTCCGACATTTTTTTTTCTTTCTGCTTTCACACCAAGTTCTTTATTCATTTTAACAAATACTTGAGTTAATTTTCTGCTTGATTAGTCTAATTTACTTGATATTGTAAACTATTCACCGCACTGAGATGAATGTCTAAATCTAGTCTAATGGAATGTTTTGACAGGCAAAGCGGCGCGTGCACATTTTAAAAACGTTAAAAATATAGAAAAAAAAATTCGAAGCTACAACATGAGCAACATTCAAGAAACCCCCATCAAATATAAGACATAATGTACCTGGGATGTTCCTAAAGAACAAGTCTTCAGTCATCGACCACTAACACTGAAGTATTATTCTGTATAAAGTGTGACTCTTCTTATTCTTAACGTGAGATATTTTCTGTTGACTACACTTTTCTTCTTGTTATATATCAACTTAACCATGACAAAACAGACCGGCTCTTCTTGTTCGTCAGCTAATCCATATTTAGGCTTAGTAATCGTGCGAGTCCTACAAGTTATCCATCAGGTAACTTATGATCTTAGAATTATAAATATTAAGGTTACACACTCCAGGAGATTATAAATATTAGGGTTACACACAACAGAAGATTATATAAGTATTAGGGTTACACACTCCAGGATATTATATAAATATTACGGTTACACACTCCAGGAGATTATATAAATATTAGGGTTACACACTCCAGGAAATTATATAAATATTAGGGTTACACACAACAGAAGATTATATAAATATTAGGGTTACACACAACAGAAGGTTATAAATATTAGGGTTACACACAACAGAAGATTATAAATATTAGGGTTACACACTACAGGAGATTATAAATATTAGGGTTACACACTACAGGAGATTATAATTATTAGGGTAACACACTCCAGGAGATTATAATTATTAGGGTAACACACTCCAGGAGATTATAAATATCAGGGTTACACACTACAGGATATTATAAATATTAGGGTTACACACTACAGGAGATTATATAAATATTAGGGTTACATACTACAGGAGATTATATAAATATTAGGGTTACATACTACAGGAGATTATAAATATTAGGGTTACACACTACAGGATATTATAAATACTAGGGTTACACACTACAGGAGATTTTAGCACCGGCCAAAGCACACAGTCTCTCCTTCCCCATATCTTAACATATCTGTCAGTGACCAGTTTAGGTAACATCATACCGTCCCTAATCTCGAGCCACCGACTACAAGGTGGGAGTGGGGGTGCAACTGGTTGTTATGCGAAATTCTGTTTAAGATTTCATACGAATTTTAAATCATTTCTTATTGAATGTTACTTATGTGGGACCAGAAGAAAAAAGTCCATGTTTTCAGATTAAAATTCTGTATTATTTCTGCTATTTTTAAAAGCTTGTTTTATTTGTACTTAAGCACAAAGCTGTACAATAAACTATCTGTACTCTGACCACCATGGGTATCGAAACTTCGTGTAAATATTAATATTCTTAAGTAAATTCCAGTAACGAATAAATACAAGAGTTATTCAGTTAATTTCATCTATCCTTCAATTAAACGTATTTTATAAAAGACTCACGGTAGCGACACAGTTAAGCTATTTCATTAGGCATAGCTAATAGATGTACTTACATAAGCTTAACTTGTTAGGCCTACCTAGTACATGCATCTACACATGTGCTGACATGTTAGGCCTAGCTAGAAAATACGTCTACAAGTTAAATAATACTATCTTTACATATATTTAAAAAAGATGTTCCAATTATTGTTGAAAGAACAATTGTTGCTTTTTTTGAGAACAACGACAACAATGTATACTAGTGAACAATTAAATTCAAGTTGTTTCAGAAGCTTTCCAAATTGTTGGTGAAATTTAAATTTATTACAAAATTTATTTATTAAATTTATTACAAACGTACAGAGATTTAACTCCTTCCTATAAAAAAAATGTTGTATTTGAAAGTAAGTTTATACAAAAAATAACAAATCGGTAAATATGGTTATTTAAAAAAAAAATTGAACTCAATAGCAGGGACCACCAATAAAAATTACGGTAATATTTAACTATCACGTTGGTAAGTATTTCAGAAATGTGCAATGAATAACTCATTGAAGCTATTATTAGATTATACATTGAAATTCGAACCTGTTCAGACTCTTCTTCAAATGTTTTGAGATGAAGATAGGTCTCCAGCTTCTTCAGACGTTTCTCCTGTAAGTTGGCTAATTTCCTGGCTACACGTCGCAGTTCACTGTAGAGGGCAGTCCCTCTGTCTATGCTGTCCCTACATATTTCAGGAATTAACAGGATAGACTATTAACTGAACAAAAAGTAAAGACCAGTTAGAGTTTTCAGTAACATAATTAACCACTTTCATTTGTTGGCCAGAGGAAATCGTCTGTAACCTTTGTTCATTTTGTCGCTCCACATACAGTAATTAACTGTTCAAGTGCTAACGAGGACAAACCAAATTAATTTTAAAAAAAACAAAAAACAGGACTTTCCAGTCCCATTCACTTATTTACACAACCATCAAAAACCAGTTATTTTCATGTAAGGAATTTAATGATAATTACCTTAGGTGAAATTTTAGAGGGGGGACGTGTCCCCCATTTTTTCCAATGACGTAGAATCCAACGTGCAAAAATCAACGAGCGACACAGTACACTCGACAGGTTAATTTATTATACCGTACGTTTATATATTAAATATAATATTATATTTGTACAGTAGATTTTTATATCAGTATAATAAATCACAACCTTGCACTTAAAACAAGCCAATTACAGAGCACCCCACAATAAATCTACATTCAGATTTTATATTTTTTATACTTAAACGTGTCCATATAATTTGGAATTTTCAAACCTAAATGACACCTTTATACAACACAAGTTAAACAGCCAGATCAGCCATAGCAGTCCTTAATTTAGAGCTGTCATCTGGAGTGAAGGCAATACCCTCTGCTTACAGTCTTAATTAAACAGCATGTTGCAGGCTCGAACCTCGGACGTTGCGATTCGTAGTCGGCGCGCTAACCACTATAGGCCAAAACGATAAGACAACTTGAAAATTATAAATATAAAAACTTGGCTACAACACAAATCAACGTGCCAACATTATAAATAGGCAGGTCCCGTGCAACATACTGCTGTGCCAAAATTATAAATGGGCATGTCCCGTGCAACATACTGCTGTTGGTCAGTTAGACTGGCACGTTACATTCGGCAACTATTGGCAATAATGAAAGCTTAAGGAAATTTCTCTAACCCTAACAATAGTTTGGTTTGTTTTGAATTTCGCGCAAAGCTACACGAGGGCTATCTGCGCTAGCCGTTTCTAATTTTCTAATTCTGAAGTGATAGACTAGAGGAAAGTCAGCTATTCAACACCAACCACCACCAACTCTTGGGTTACACTTTTACGCGGAATTAAGAAGCCACATTATAACGCCCTCACGGATGAAAGAACGTGTATGTTCGGTGACAGGATTCGAACTCGAGATCCGCAGATTGCGAATCGCGCGCCCTAATACAGCAAACTTCAAAAATATCATGAAAAGAATAAAAGTCACATAATTATGTTACGTAAAACATGGTGTATAACGCCCTAGCTGGTGAAGCACGAACTATTAAATATGGTGTATAACGCCCTAGCTGGTGAAGCACGAACTATCTAACATGGTGTATAACGCCCTAGCTGGTGAAGCACGAACTATCGAACATGGTGTATAACGCCCTAGCTGGTGAAGCACGAACTATCGAACATGGTGTATAACGCCCTAGCTGTTGAAGCACGAACTCTCGAACATGGTGTATAACGCCCTAGCTGGTGAAGCACGAACTATCGAACATGATGTATAACGCCCTAGCTGGTGAAGCACGAACTATCGAACATGGTGTATAACGCCCTAGCTGGTGAAGCACGAACTATTAAACACAGGTGTATAACGCCCTAGCTGGTGAAGCACGAACTATCGAACATGGTGTATAACGCCCTAGCTGGTGAAGCACGAACTATTAAACATAGGTGTATAACGCCCTAGCTGGTGAAGCACGAACTATCGAACTGTTCACAAAACATCTGTATCGTTCGGTTAGTCATTAGGTACAGGACCATGCTTACCTGTAGTCTGCATTATGAGGCGCGTTCTTACTGAAATAATCGATTTTTTTCAAAATAGTATCTCCTTCTTCTTCTAGATGGCGCATCTGTACATCTTGAAAAGTCTTGCCAATAACCCGTTTGTGCTGTTCGATCAAATGATTTGCTGAAGCCGCCGATGATGGCAGACGACTGATCCGCAGTTCTTGCATAATACTAACGAGGTGACGTCCACAGATACGACAACCATTGATAAAAGGCTCAACGCACTGAAGAAAAAAACACGAATTTATTGGTTTTGAAAAAAAAAATAACTTGAACTACGCTACTAAAAACAACCTGCAAATATTTTATTTTATTATAGCAAATTATCAAATGTTAGCATAATATTCTATAAAAAAATAATTACCTTTCTGAAATTCACCCACTCCTGGTGGTCATAAAAATAACTACCACTAATCTGTGTAGGCAGCTGTTCTTTCTTGATAAATTTGTTTAGCGTTTCTTCGCTAGTTATCAACGTGTGCTGAAAAGAGAAAATCACAAAAAAAAAAAAAGACAGTAGTTTTGTATAATACACGAGTGTTCGTGTTCAGTCATTTCGTGGTCAATTTAATTATCTAAAAGGTTTAATATTTGTATTAAAACTTTATAACACTAAGCGATTTTTTTTAATTAACCACCACAGACTGTTTCTAAACCGAAACACGTCACAAAGATCGTAACTAAACATTCGAAACAAAGTGGACAACGTTCTCGTTTTAATGTGATTTAAAAAATATTGTCGTAGCTTCACATCAAATAAAACGTTCATGGCTCGTACGTTAATACAGTTCCTTACTTTGTCTTTACTGTTGATGAGTTACATCACTAGTCAGTACGTTAATACAGTTCCTTACTTTGTCTTTACTGTTAATGAGTACATCACTAGTCAGTACGTTAATACAGTTCCTTACTTTGTCTTTACTGTTAATGAGTACATCACTAGTCAGTACGTTAATACAGTTCCTTACTTTGTTCTTTACTGTTAATGAGTACATCACTAGTCAGTACGTTAATACACTTCCTTACTTTGGCTTTACTGTTAATAAGTACATCACTAGTCAGTACGTTCATACAGTTCCTTACTTTGGCTTTACTGTTGATGAGTACATCACTAGTCAGTACGTTAATACAGTTCCTTACTTTGTCTATACTGTTAATGAGTACATCACTAGTCAGTACGTTAATACAGTTCCTTACTTTGTCTTTTCTGTAAATGAGTACATCACTAGTCAGTACGTTAATACAGTTCCTTACTTTGGCTTTACTGTTAATGAGTACATCACTAGTCAGTACGTTAATACAGTTCCTTACTTTGTCTTTACTGTTAATGAGTACATCGCTAGTCAGTACGTCAATAGTTCCTTACCTTAACTTTACTGTTAGGGAAGTATAAACGACCCACTTCTGTTTCCTCGGTCCAAATCAACACCGTGTTGATACAATTATTCAAAGGTACCTAGAACCGAAGTTTAGATTTCATCAAATTGATGAATTAATTAGTTTATATTTGAATGAAACTTTGATTTAACGGAAAAGAAATTTCTTTAGTAACACAAAAGCTACCCTATAAACTTAACTTAAAATAAAATATTTACATATTCAATAAAACATAATTTCCTGTGAATTATTAAACCAATCTCTTATCAATTCCCTAAACTAAAGGTAGATAAACAGGTAAGGCATACGGAAAACAGATAAAAATAAACTGAGAGAAAGGCAGATATATAATATTGGTGATTAAAAATAAATACAACACACGGGTAGTTGATTAAAAATAAAAAGCCACACACGGGTAGTTGAATAAAAATAAAGAACCACACACGGGTAGTTGATTAAAAATAAAGAACCACACACGGGTAGTTGATTAAAAATAAAGAACCACACACGGGTAGTTGATTAAAAATAAA